ATATTTTTTTCTAAATATATTTTTCCATCTATTTAAAAAATATATATATAATTCGCACACTTTATTAACTCTGCATTGAATATTCATGCAATCAGCGGCGAAGTCAAGTTTAGTTTAATGGGTCTTCATCAATTCAATCATTAGATATTTAATTTGTTTTGTTCGAATTGTGTGCTAAAAGATGATTGCCTGTGATATTAAATACTAATAATAAGAGTTTAAATTATGATCTCAATTTCGTTTAGGTGAATTTTGAACACGATTGCTATTGTTGTAAAATCGCGCATTTTTGCGGTTTATCTCTATGATAATTCTGTATGATAATTCCATTACTCCACGTCTCTCGCGTCAGCTCCGTTTTCTTTATGTTATAAGCTTGATGATAAACTGGTTTATTTTTCTGGGTTTCTTCGTTGCAAAGAATTGCAATTGCCGCAGACCCATTCCTGAGTGTCAGAGTCACTGGTAGCTAGCTTCTTTTCCTGCAGATGCAATGTGTGCCGTGTGTACTGCATACATTTATATTCCACTTTACGCCTTTTCTTATTTGTGACGCTAACATTGTTTTAAATTGTTCACGACACCACAACGTGCGATTATACGCTCCCGTTTTCTCGTTACGCAGCTTGTTTTTAAAATAAAAAATTTGCTTAGCTGTCAACAAAAGCATTTTGTCATAGATGTTATTTTCATAAGTAAATAGAAGAGAAAATATGGAGAATTTATTATTATTATTTCATAATTGCATCTTTCAGTAATTGATAAATTGTTAATGAACGGTAAATTCTTTTTAGCGTATGAAAAGGAAAGTGCATGCATAAAACAACAGTTTTATATTTTGACAAATAATTTTTACCTTGCAAAAGAACGCATACAGAAGATAAATTTTTCTAAAAGAAACGACATTACAATAAACCGATATTACAATAAAAATTACAAATGTAAAATATTTATCTTGCTAAATTGTTAAGCGAAAAGTCATTATACGACAATAATGCATGTTATCAGCGACATCGGCGGCATTTTACGTATGAATATCGTGTAATGGTATCCGCTGTATGCATTACTTTATGTTTTGCATGAACTTCGCGTAACGAAATCATTGCGTCCGCTGTCGAGTGTATGATGCTCTGGTACAGCCAGCCATTTAGCATCTTTCTTTATAGTAAGCGCGAGAGACATCGCATGTCTGTGCATTACGGCACTTTATTCTTATGCGTAGGCCATTCTCCGGCGCTTATACTTCTTGCATCCGCCTCGCACCGTTCTGCCTTCCGTGCTCGATGATAAACGTGACTGTTTTTCCGCGTTTTTCCTTCCTCTTCCTCTGTTCAACCCGGTGAGGCACTAGCGGGAAAACTGCAACTTTTGAGTGTAGCCAGTACTAGATGGAATAGATCTCTCCGATGTTGTAGCTAAATGTTTTGCATACGTGTCCCTATCCATCCGAGAATGGATATACGAGTGATCGCATCGAGCGATCTCGCAGGATACTTGCGTGCGTAAGGTGGTATAAGAAATTTGCATTCCGTATTCTTTATAAATTTTTCTATTCATTTCATTTTGCGATACGTCTTTGGATAATAATTTAAGTATGATTAATATGGTTGGTATGCGAAAAAGCTCGTTATTCGAAGAAATAAATAATGAAAAAAACTTTCTACAGCCCCATAAACACATTTATAATAATAGTACATTATTCCATCAATCGTGATCTAAAGTTTAGGCCCCCCCACCCTTTCGTAATTGACGACGTCAATTGACTAATAATTATTGTACTCTAAGCATGTGTAATCCGTGAAAGTCATTAGTATCCAAAACTGCACTTCCTTAATTGCGAGAAAGTTAGCCGAACGTATTTGAAGTTTCTGACGACGACGATCGGTTTTGTTCTTCTGCAGCCGTGTATCGGACGACAGTTATCCGATGTTCAGTAACTATTCCTGTAAGGTGAACCTGACGAAGAGACCTAGCAGGACCTTATTCTCTCTCCCTGTGCCATGTCGCGAATTATTAATCAGACCCGGTGGCTGGAATCTGGCGTCAGACAGAAGCGATCTTCCTTAATCACGATGAAAGTTGTACCGGCGTAGCCGGCGTGTTTGAAATTTCCGGCATCCGAGCACCGTAGCACGAAGATAGGGCAAACGGCAAGAAAATGCTCGCGCGTGAGAGAGATAGTAAGGGAGAGAGAGAGGGAGAAAAATAGTTCACGTAGAGATGCGATACGAGAAAGTGGAGAGAGAGTCGGCGCACAATCTGGACATAATCGCGGACCGAGACGGTTACGTCGGGGACTGGCTGGTCTTCGGGACGTCGCGGTAATTAATGTGGCCTCACGCATCTCGTACGATCTCGGCCGTCTCTTGCCTGCGCGGCTCGCTTTCGTTGTTTCTCCCGTGCTGTCGCACGGAGAAAACTTTCAGGGCCGTGAGATAAGCCAAAACCCATTATAGTTTGTCGTTAGATTCTCTTCTGCCGCGCCCTCGAACAGTCGGTAGAGTCGCACGAAAGATCTCCGCTCTATCTGCATTCCTCCGACCGTCCGCCATTCGCCGTCCGCTCTTCGGAGTCTACCTTAACCCCAAGATAATGGCTAAAGCGTTGTTGGAGTTTAAATGAGTGTTTGCGCGCTCCCCGTAAATTATGGCGACCCCTTTCGGGACACCCGTTGCTATAATATACGTGTACGAGCGGCGTTCAGAAGGTGCCAACGTCATCGTGTCCCATGCTTGGCTGATTATTGTGCAGCGTGCGTTGGAATAGTGCCTCCGCAGCCCTTCTCCGTTCGATATGCACAGCTCGTGTGCCACGAGCCGGTATTTTTATTCATTTGCTCGCGTATTTAATTAGCCCTCCTTTCCTTTTGTTCGACGCTGAACTCGCGAACTAACGAAGAGTGTAACACAACGCTCCTTATTGATTAAATTTTAAGGTAGAAGACAGCGTATTGTTAATTTTTATGTATTATTATTGACGGTGTTTCTTCCTGTATAAAGGTTTGTTATAAATTTTGTTCAAATAATTAATCAAGTTTCAAAAATACAATAGATTCGAATCTGATTGAAGTGTATTTTGTACAAGAATATAATAGAGCTTTAAAAAATATACTTGTGCCCAAAATATTTTTGATACACGCGTGAAGACGCTCGTTTGGGTAAGATCGGAGCAGGATGGACAAGGAGAAATACGACTGCAGTTGCTTTTGCGTTTTTATTGCGTAGCATTGGTCAGGTTTACACTTTCGCATTGACTATTTAGCTACTACTATCGCCATCAAAAACAGGGCAACAGCCGCTGCTATTTTCCAGGATGCTCACGTGGCGCCGACTACGCCTTCTCAACTTTATTGTGCACATTTCGCTTACGACAGCGACACGCCGTGCACACATCACAAATATTATGTCGCACTATCCGGAATTGAAATTGCAAGATCCGGATAATTTCGTTATCATCTTGATAACGAAATCTCTCCTTTATTAAAAATTCCAGGATTTGATCCAGTAAAATCAGTTGTTCTAGATTCAATGCACCTTTTATTTCTTGGTATTACAAAAACTTTATTAAACAATATTGTATTCGGTGGTCCCAAGAATAGTGGTATTGGGCCACGAAATCGATTATTATTAAGCAATTTACTCCATGGTTTATCTGGTCAAATTCCCTCAGAATTCCAAAGAAAAACTTTTGATATTGGTAACTTAAAAAATTGGAAAGCGACACAATTTCGTTTCTTTCTGTTATACAGTGGTATATTAGTACTTCGTCATGTTCTTCCAACTGATAAATATAAGCACTTTTCTCTTTTATATGTAGCATGTCGATTATTATGTAGTGATGATTTGGCAATATTAAACGCAGAAAATGCAAAAAAATTATTAATATTATTTTTTCGTTTGTTGCCTAAATTTTATGGTTCTCATATTCAAAGTATTAATTTTCATAATTTAATTCATATAGCAGATGATGTAACTCATATAGGATGTTCATTGACATCATTTTCGGCATTTCCATTTGAAAATTTTTTGATGACTTTAAAAAAATTAGTTCGTACACCAAATAATCCTTTAAGTCAAGTTACAAATCGTTTAAAAGAAATTAATTTAAATACTAATATAAAGATTGTTCAATCTATATCAGTTACAGATTATGTTAAAAAAAAATCAATTTATTTAGGCAATCATATGACAAAAATAATATTTAAAAGTATAACATGGAATGAAATGATTATCACAAATACATCTCCTAATAACGTTGTACAACTAAAAAATGGCAATATCATACAAATTAATAAAATTTATTCGTTAAAAAATGATGTTTTAAATCAAGAAAAGTTATCACTAAAAGGATCGTTATATTATGATACAAGAGATGTTTTTAACTATCCTTATAAATCATCTAATGTCGGTTTATGGCAAGTTAATTTAAGCAAATACCGTTGCGTTTTTCATGTTAAAGAAATTAAACATAAATGCGTACTTTTAAACATTAAGAATATTACGTATTGTACAAAATTATTACACGTTTAAATTTTTTTAGTTTGTAAATGTTTGTAAATATTTTAATAAATGTACATAAATGTAATCAATATGTACATTTAATTTTTTATTACCGTATAAATAAATATTTCAATACATTTCGATTTCGCTATCGATAGTTTCTGTATATGCATTTGTTTGTTGACTGCGGAACCTCGTTCTGGCATCATTGCTGTTATGTGTCAAAGCGTATAACTGTAT